TTTTAACACGGGCAGTCGAGAAGTATGAGGTGCACCAGCAGAAACAGGCCCCGAAGGATACCAAGCCAGGGAACGCCGATGGCAAAACTGCCACCGCCAGCGACGCATCGCAGAGCGTTGGAGCCGAGATGGCAGACGACATTGCGCTCAGTGACATGGAAGAAAACGACTCCCCTAGTAGCCAAGAGCGCAAACGCAAAAGAGAGGCAGATGCGGCAGACTCGGCCGGCGCAACACCCTCCGAGGGACCAGAGACGAAAAGACCACGAGCCGAAGACGGGACCGAGCCATCTCCTCCGCCTCCTCCGCCTCCTCCACCGGACTCTAGCTCAGACGACACCCTAACGGAAGAGCAAAACGCGGAGCAAAGGGCCTTCAAGGAACAGGAAGAGGCGCTCATGCGAGAAAATGAGGAAGCGCAACGGCTAGAAGATGAGGCCAACAAGACCAAGGACATGGAAGAAAAGGCTGAAGAGATACGGAAGGATATAGTTCTTGCGGCATGATTATCTTTTTATTAGTATCAGGTGAGGCTACATCTTTTTTACAAAAGGGAGGGGGTTTGATACCAGAGCAGGGATCTTATGGCATAATTGGAGTCAAGCTAGGCATTGTACTATTACCTGATTTATTGCGTTGCAGAAGGCGGGGTGAAGGGTGAGCCGGGCCGCATGTATTATTGGAGAAAACGGGGTGAGCCGAGCGAGTTTCTTTACGTGGCAGAGGGGACAAGAGAGACAAAGTGGTAGCTTGGAGAAATGGTCGGGAACTGATAGATGAGATACCATGTTTCAATACCTGGATGTGCTAATACTATATCAAAACGCTATGCCATGCAGAACACCACGTCCGTCCCCCATGTCCCAAGTCTCGCCCTCTCCATGTCATCCAGAGAATGTCAATCATCATCATCTGACGAATCGTCGTCCCCTCTCCTCCTCTTCTTCCTCTTCTGCTCCACGACCTCGCCCTTTCTCCTAAACACGTAGCTCCTCGCGCTCCTCTCCTCGCCCTTCCACCCGCCGCCCACGTCGCCCCTTTTGTTGCGCACGGCGCCCAGCGTGCGCGCGTGCCTGTAGCCCGGGTACGCGGCGGCCTGGAAGCGGAAGCTGCGCTCCACCTGCAGGCCCGAGTGGCGCGCGAGGTCGCGGATGTTCCAGAGCGTGTAGGGCTCGCCCTCGAACAGCGTGACGACGATGCTGCCGCCGGGCCGGAGGGCGCGCGTGGCCCCCCCGAAGAAGGACACCAGCAGCTCCTGGTTGTACCGGACCTGGCGGTTCACGTCGGTCGACTTGCCGCCCACGTGGGGGAAGTTGAAGAGGATGGTGGAGTATACTGGGCGGGTGAGCGAGGCGGGAAGCTTGGTTGCGTCGATGTTGTACAGGAGTCTGTTGTTGCTGTGGGATGCTGAGGGGAAGCCTGTGTCGTTTGGCGCCTCGCCGCGTGAGTCGGTGCTCTTGTCGTCGTCGTCATCGTCGTCGGCGTCGGTATTTCCCGCTTCATCGGCCTCCCTGTCCTGCTGGGCTTTGCGGAGCCCTGTTACGACGGATATGTTGTCGTCTACGGACGGGTACTTGCCCGCCAGCTCTTGATGGTCCTGCTCCAGCACGGTGGCGGTGACGTCGCTGCAGCCGTGGTGCTGGATTATAGACGCCGCGAAGCTCAGGTCCCCCTCGCCAATGAGCAGGATCTTATCTTCTGGGTGGAAGGGAATGACGGGCGCCTCGTGCTGTTGCTGTTGCTGCTGCTGGCGCGGCTTCTTGGGGGCTTGCTTGCTGGGAGTGGTGTTGGGTCGGGCGTGCAGGGTTGGTTTGGGCTTTTGCGCCTTGGGGTGTTGGCGCTGCAGCTTGCGGCGCTTCGCGTTGGCCATGGGTCAATTGGTGTCTGGGGAATACCGCGAGGTTAGAGCGTATGGTGTTGCGACAAGTTTTTGGTTTTCCCCACGTGTTGTTGGTAGGAATCGAAGCCGTCGTTGGGTGTGTCGGTCGGGATGAGGTCACTTTTTTTTTTGTTTTTGGGGGGCGCCGACTTACAATGCTCGGTACGGCGACTAATTAATTGGCGGCGGTCCCCTGTTGACGGGTGATAGGTGGGCGCCGGAGCGGATCTCACGTGCGCTGCGGGACGATCCAATCTGCTTGCTCCGTCTGCCTGTCCAATAGAGAGCGGCGGCGGGAGTTTAAAAAAGACTGGAAGAAAGGAACTTCGGCTTCGGGCCATGGGCGTTGCCGCTTTGGGATGCGTGTATATTGTGCTTTGGTCAGAGTTGGAAATGAAATCGCGAGTATAGTAAGAAGGCGTGATTATTCATATAGGTGAAGTAGTGCATTGGATTTTTCTCTTCTTCTTCTTATTTTTTCATCTTTGTTTTTTTTTTTTTTAAATAAAATTATTGAATCGCTTGTGCTTGTCGTGGCTGGCTTACATACATCTTAGCGGGTCTATCAGTGTGTGACATGGCATGACAGTGACAACAGAACGACAGACCACGCAATAGCGATTGAATCCGGTTGAGCAATGGAAGGCCTGTCCCATCACTCAAGAAATTATATTTCAAACCAAAGATGGAGCAATATCTTTGATATTGATGAAGCCGCGTCTCGGGCTCTGCAACACCCACGTAACGTCCGGAGTACTTTGTAGCTGTGCCTTGGCCATCAACCACTCCTTCCCAGCCAACAGCAGCCCCGGTTAAAACACAGACAAATGAGGGCCGCAGGCAGGCGACTCCCGCATACGTTGATTGGCTGCTGAGCCTGCCGCTCGCGGGCACTAAACTGATTCGGTAGGAGGTGACTCGGGTTCCGTATCATTGATTGGCCCGGAAAAGAGGATACTCCGGGGGCCGCAAAGTTCTGTCGTAGTACCCCTAAACTGCGTTGTGGCTCCGGAAGGAAGGCGCAAGTGACAGCGACGCAAGTGAAGCGTGCTAAGAGAGGCTCTCGGGTGCGACACGAGGGAAGGGAGGGAAAGCATAACAGTATAAAGCCAGCAACTACATGAGTTTGGTTTTCTTTTAACATTTGATACAGACAGCGAAATATGCTCGCAGGACGTGATGGCAAAACCTTGAATGCGTGGTGTGATACTAGTACAACTCTGGTGATGAGGACGGCTAGACTGCGAGGCTGTATGCAATATAATAAGTACATATGCCGGCATCCTAAATCGTGACATCTGCGCAGGCGGCGGCCGTACGTCTGTGTGGTGACATGTATGGGCGAATCCTACTTAAGTATTTTTTAACCGTGGGCACGGAGCCACTCCATTGTCAAGCAGCCTTTGTGCGACGACTCTCAACAAGTTCGGAATCTGCTTTGTACTTGGATGCTGGCGTTTCAACACATGATGCGGTACCTGCATCAGGTCCAAGACCAAAGAGCCCGCGCCTGCTTCCCCCCTGGTGACAACCCGTTTGACGAACAGTCTCACAGCATTGAAATTACTCTGGTGCAAAGGGGTAGGATTTGCTGCTTTGCGTCTGTTCAAAATCCGTCCATGTGCTGTGTAGCGCGAGGCGGGAGTTGTCAGATGTACAGCAAAATGGTTTGTTCGAATAGCGCCACTGCGTCTCAGATCAGCCCTGCTGCGCGTGCGCTTGTTCCAAGGACGTCCTACAATACTCCGTAGACTACATGTATGTACATTCACGATGGCGCTAGCAAATTAGAGTTTCCCTGCTTCCATTTCCTTCCCCGTGGTGCTGGTCGAACAGGGCGGATCGTTTGTTATGCAAAAGGCTCGTTCGGTCCCGGCATCAGGGTTTTTTTGCCTCGCCGCGAGACAACAGCCACACATCAGGCTTCCCAGGCCGCAGATATTCACTGCAGACTCCTCAATGACACAGTGACATGATTGCATGGTCTTTTGCCTTTTTCTTCACATCGGGCTGCTTGTTGCGTAGCCTCGTTGCTGTGATTCAGGGTGGCGAGCAAACATGCAAAGCGTACTTTAGACAAACGCTCCCGCTGCCGTGGCCTCGACGAAAGCCAGGCTGCACTCAAAACCCCTTGGAGCGGACGCTAGTAAACATGTAGCAGTGACCACGGAAGTATATGTCCATGTGCTAAAGAAGAAACGGACTTATATATAGCTCGGGCTTTATTCGCCCTGGCAGAGGCCAGTCTGCGTTCTTGCGAGCTTTGTATTCAACAATCGGCTCCCGCGCTGTGGTATCCCCTAGCGGCCTGATACACGACGATTGGTGCGGCGCCCCATGTAGCAGGAGGTACCCCGGCCGCCCCCGGTACCTCGTCGAGTCCCGCAGACGAGGCCCAGTTGCACGCGTCGAGCGACGCAGCCAAACACAGCAGACGCAGCCGGATCCTCGTCCGTACTGGCCGCCAGCCCAAGAGAGCGCCGCCGCCAAAAAAAGGTCCCCGAAAAGGTCACACCTCATCGTTTTCTTCTAATCATCTATTCTTGCAAGTCACCGCCATCCACGCCCGCCGCGTCTCGCATCACCATTGCACTCGGCAGAGTCCTGAGCGGCAGTGCATCGAGACGGCTCTCTATTTCTTTTAATCATCTGCCTTGGCGCTGATTGACGGTCGGCGCTGTGTGTTTTTGGCTCACTTGCACCCGGTTGGCTGGGGCAAGGCTTTTGCTCTGCCTGGGCCCTTTGGGAGACGCCAACTGGTTCGCCAACTGGTTCCCTCTTACACTTTCCACTTTGGCAACTTCTTTGGCCGCACCTGCACTTGGAGCGGACGGACATTGTACACACACACACACACACACATCCGCATCCACATCCACATACACATACACTCACATACCTCGTCCACTCACACACACACATACACCACACATACACCACACATCGCTCATAACCTCACCACCCGCATCCTTTTTTTTTTTTAAAAAAAAAATCTGGCTTCCCATACGCCCGTTTAAAATCCCTCCACATCATCGTCTCCTTCTCCTCCTCCTGCCTCCTCTTTCTTCTTTCCCTGTCTCCCACTACCTCAAATACATGATCCGGCTCCGCTGCTTCCGCCATGGCAGCTGAGACTTCGTCGCCCGCGCGCGAGCCCGCCACATCAACCCGTGGCCGTGGCAGAGGCGGGCGAGGTGGCCGTGGTCGAGGTCGAGGAGGTGGCAGAGGCGCCTCAAATGCTGCCTTGTCAAAATCTACTGCTGCCTCTCGTGGTCGAGGTGGCACGCGCAGGGGGAGAGTAAAGAACTTCTCCGACTCGCGTGTACAGGCCGCTTATGAGCGCCAGCGCGACCTCAAGGCTACCTATCAGGCCGTTGCTTTTGCCCTCAAGCCTGCCCTGCAGGAGCTTGCCGAGCGTAGTGTCGAAGAGATGCTGCAGAAGCCAGACTGTTACAAGCAGGCCAACGAGTATCAGCCCATTATCCAGCAGCTCAAGGACAAGCTTGATAATAAGCTGCGCGCCTGTGACCGTCGTCTCGAGTGCGATCTCAACCTCGCCGAACACAGCTTCAATGCCGACAAATATGTTGCCGAACAAGAATTCAAGGTTCGTTTTCCCTCTTCAACAGCGCTTTCTATCCGCTTGGGGCGCTTGCCCTGCTAACACGCACCTTGCAGAATGCTCTCAGCGACGTGCTGGAGCAATTTTACGAGAGCCAGGAGAATCGCTTGCGCATCCTCGCCGCCCTTCATTCCAAGGATCTACCTGTCGATGTAAGTTTTCATCATAGTCAAGTTGTCATTCTATCAGTTGTTTATTATATACATATACATTCAATGCCCCCCCTCGTTTTATTCCGTCCTCTGCCTCCCCATATCCTATGTCAACATCATCGCTGACGCCACTCCCCCTCCTTAGGTTGAGGATGACCAATATGATTATCGCGTTATTAGTGACGCTGAGCTTGACAACGACTTTGGCATTTATGAATGCTATAAGAATGGCCACCTCGTTCCCTATCCCTCCCGTGTCGCTGGCACTGAAATGTGGAGAAAGGCCCGCGACCCCGAGGCCTCTGTTGCTACACCCAGAGAATCGTCAGCAGCTCCCACAAGAGGTAGAGGCCGTGGTCGTGGCGGCGCTGCCAGTGGCATTAAGCGCAGAGCTGTTGACCAGCCAGATGGCCAGTCAACACCCAAGAGATCGACTCGCAATGTTGATGATAGTCAACTGCTTGCTCCCGCACCCATTGCTCCAGCCCCCATGAAGGGTTTGCTCGCCTCGGCTGCCAATGTCGACAAGGATCCGGAAGGTACGCCGGGAGAAGAAGAATCCGTTCCCGCTTCACCAGAACCGCCCCTGCTCAATGGCAACGGGTCTTTTACTAGCCGTGCTCTCAGCAGGCAGCAGGCTCGAGAAAAGAGCCCGCCGTTACCCAAGAATATTGGGGAGCCGGATGAGCACGGCGTGCGTACTTACAACCAACGACCGTCAATGCGGGAGAAAGGCATTAACAGTCGAATTCTCGCACCCCACGTTGTTTGGTTTGAGGACTGGGAAATTGGGTTCAAAGACACGTCCAATGATTCCACAAAGGGCCACACTCGCGCCAAACGAGGTAAATATCTCGACACCCCCAACAGCAACGGAATTCACTTCGACCATTGGTGCAACGCATACGATTACTCCACCACGACTCCCGAGGACTTTGACCAGGAACTGGTTAAACGATACGGTGTACATCCAAAATATGGCATCTTTCTTCCCACGAGTACAAACGACTTTGAGGAACCACAGCCTTACGTCATGCCAGGCAAGCCCGTGGTATACATCGCTAACCCATCTGGTCGGATATCACACGCCTCTAGGGGATTCCAATCAACAACGAATCAACGTCGATCGGAAGAGTTGCCGTTGAGGGAGAAGATGAGGGCCAATCTGCGTCGATTTTGCAAAATGGCCGAGGTCGACTCTGAGGACATTGACATTGCCGAGTTTGTTCGATCCAATGATGCACTTCGAGCCAAGTCTCTGGGGACAGCCGAAAAGGAGTTCAACTCACGACCCCAATTATCCGAGACGACATCCGAGGCAGATGAAGGCGAATCTACTCCGCCACAGGAACCCGAAAAAACCGACGATGGCGTCGCGGACCTGTCTGTGTTGGTTTACGCTTCAGCCTATGTCGCGGCTAAGGATGTCACCCGAGCCGCTCCGCCCACACCCAAGCCGGCACGTTACGATGCAATTCGCGACGTCTTCACCGACTCGAAGCCGGACCCTGCTCCCGCTCCCGCAAACACCGGTCTGGGTCTCAATCTTCTTGCAGAATTATGCGACTTTGAGTTACGCCCTCCCGGCTGGGACGGTCACGTGGAACGAACGTCTGGTGTTTCAGTCGCAGACTCGGATTTGCGGACCACGATAAAGCATGAGGAACCACCTCCCATCTCCTCATTCTCTCATGCACCCATGAATCCAAGACTCAGCCAGGAACCGTCTGCACCGTACACACACAACCAGCAGTCAGACCGTGTGACGCTGCCCCCAGTCAAGTCTGTTCATGATCGTTCAGCATATCCTATTCCCATACCACAAGGGGCCAGTCACAGAACAGACTACAAGCCCTCTGCTCCGGCTCCCCCGGCACCGCCTATTCCTGATCATGGAAGTTATTATCCGCCTCCAGGGGGTTCTTATCCACCCGGCCCTCGTGAACCCCACGTATCAAGTGGTCGACCTATAGAACCAGGCTATAATCCTCGTCGATTGAGTAGCTACGGATCCGAAACTAATCAACAGCCGGCATACGGCAGCACGTATTGGCCTCAACAACCTTCCTCTGCTGGACTAGCAGGACCTCCACCGGTTCTCCCTCTAGCTGGTGTCTCTGCTCCTCCTCCGGCTCCTCAGGGGTACTCGCTGCCTCCGCCTCCGTCGAGTTCGAGAATGCCTTTCTCCCAGTCTGTAGGTGCAGAACCTCTCCCGCCTTTGCGACCGCCGCGTCCGGAGGAATCGCCTTATGAGTCGAATACGCGTAGGGACACTCATAACTCTTACTATCCGCCTCCACGATCCTACCAAAGAGGATACCCCTTGCCGGAAGCCCATCAGCCTCTACTGTCCCTGCAGCCCATACATGGAGAGAGGATTCTTCCAAACCCACAACAGAGCAATCCTCCCTACATGGGTTCTCCTCCGCCGCCAGCGGGCTACGCGTCTCAGCTCATGTCGCCGACATTCGCCAACGCCCAGGGGCTGCCGGGACCGCTGGGTCAAAGCCCACCGGGAACACCTCATGGTGGACCTCCCAGCTCGATACATCGACACAGATCGACGCCTTCCGGCTCTTCAGATGCGGGATCAAACAAATATCGCAAGCTACAACCGGCTCCGGTACCGGCTCACCGAGTCTGGTCTAATAAGCCGGAGTTGAAAACGATCCCTTACGACCACAAGGAGACTGGCTCTTCAGCTGCGCTACCCAGTTCTGGTCCCACCCAGATCAGAGGGTGGAATGTGAATCAGCATCGCAAACGAAGCAAGCAGGACAAAGGAGACCTTTCTAACGACCGAGACGAATCCAGATAGGATCCGGGTCGTCCACGGGTGTCCAATGCTGCGTCAAATCAACCCAAGTATAAATCTATTCGGTTCCTGACGCCGCAGGTGTTACAGAAGACATTACCAGCCCTGTGCCCTCGAAACGAGCCTGCGCACCAGCCGCGACCTGAAGCCAAAATGGTGACGGCCCCGATGCCCGCCGACCCTGCTGAGCTGAAAAACGTGTCTATGTATGGCTTCGGCGCGATACCAAATCTAGAGGCGTCGGCGACTCCGGAAGAGCCTCTTAAACGTCGTCTCCGACCACGAAAAGAGAGAATCGAGTGCATAGAAGCACCCGATGCAGACGTCTTCATTGTCAATGTTAGACAAAGAAGCAACGGCGGCCAGCGGTCGTCGTCCATCAAACTCAAACCAAAGCCACGAAGAACTCCTAACCGCGACCATAGATCGGTTAAGGCGAAACCTGGCTCCAAGTTTTTACCCATCGAGATACTTGACAGCGAAAAGAAGGCTGCCAGTTCTGATACATAATCTCGGTCAAAGGCTTTAGGCTCAAAAAGGCAAAAAGCCGCATCTTGACCCATGTACTATTTTTTGCCAGCACACATTGCTGGTTTCTTTCGCATTCCATCTACAGCCATATGTTTCATTATTCTCGGCCACGATACCCTCCGTGTCTTTTCTAGTTCTTTCGAGGAAGAACAAAGGAGTACCTAATTCTACCGTTTTTTTTTTCAAATGCTCTTTGGTCTTGTGGCATACAACGGCGTGGGGTAATATTTTTTTTCATCATTTTCTCTGTTATTTATGCTTATAGTCATTCCTGCTCGTCGTTTTTGTATCCTTTTATAGCCAACTTGTATAAATATATCTGTTGCGTACGCCTCGTCTACGGAGGTGGATGGGACTGCATAGGGTATAGGTGCATTGTCATGTGCGTTGATAGATGAGCCCCTGATAATGAACGAATAAAAGTTTTTTTTTAACACATGATATATTCTTTCTCTGTTGGAGTGTGTAAATACTGTGTGAATACGGACGATGATGAATGTCGTGATGCCGCTATGCCTTGTTGTCTATGCAATGTTTGCAAATGGGATTATCATACGAAAAGACATTCTTTCTGGTCATTCTAATGGAGCAAGAGGTGTTGCGTCTAGTTTTGTAAAGTAAACAAGTGCAGTCAAGTGTTTACACTATTAAGGCTAATCTACTTGCCGAAGCACGGTGCTATCCTTTGCATTAAGCCAGTTATTTATACAAGGTATTCATTCTTTCTCATTCCACCCCCCAGATGCACGCACACATTTTTTTTCCCCCCGAACCAAACAACATCATGATGAAACCTCCTCCTCCTATTATCCACGCCCTATGCAGAGGTGTTTTCTTTGGGAGCTTCGTTTGTCGTCTGCTTTTCCATGTCCGGCGCGCCTTGGGTCTGTAGGGTCTGCGTGTGGGCTGCCTGCGCAGCATCAACAGGCTGCGTTTCTGCATTCACGGCGCCCATGCCATCCATCACAGGCCCGGCCACGTCGGCATTGGGCATCGGTACGGCGGCAGCGGGAAACGCAACGTCCCCCGTGCCAAACATGTGCATGTCCCCGGGCACCATGGGGTTTGCGGCGGCGGACGCGGCATCGGCGTTGGGCACGGATAGCAGGCTTGCGCCGAGCTCGAGCTCCGGGTGGAGGGGGTACATGGGGGCCTCCATGGTGTTGCCGTCGAGGATGACCATGTTCTGGATGGGCTGCTGCGACTGGCCGAGCACGTTGATGACGTCCTGGGCCAGCTGGCCGCCGAGGATGGCCGTGACGGGCGCGATCTCGCTGCCCAGGTTCTGGAGGAAGCTGCGCAGGAACTCGGGCCGCAGCGTCTCGCTGGGCAGGCTGAGCGCCTTGTGCTTCTGGGTGGCGATCTGGGTGAAGAGCTTCAGGTCCTCCCTGTTGCTCGGGAGGCGGTTGCCCTGGAGCTGCTTGAATTCCCAGAGGGCGCGGAGGCAGGACAGCGCCGGCGTGACGGATTTCAAGCGCCGCTTGGAGGAGGTGTACTCGCGCGGGAGGACGGCCACGTCGCTGGCGAGGAACCACGTCGAGTAGAGCTCGCGCTTGCTGACGGATTCGATGGTTTTTCCGCCGTCCCGCTTGGTCTTGACGTCGGTGATGGAGCGGGTGCGCGATTCCTGCTTGGGCGTCGTGGAGACGTTGCCGGCCTCGCGGGAGATGATGTAGTCGTGCTCGATGAGGTCGCTGAAGATGAAGCCGTACATGCCATGCGTGCCGGCGGCGTAGAACGGCCGCCCGTTGATTCGCGTGGCCGTGTTGATGATGTTGAATGTGCCCGGGTCCAGGTCGGTTGCGATGACAACGTCGTAGGCAGCAAAGTAGCTGGGGCCCTTTGCCGTGACGCTTTCGGGGTCTACGTGTACCTGGACTCGGGGGTTGAGCTTGCGGAGTGCGTGACTGGCTGCCTCGGCGCGGTTCTGGCCGACGAGGCTCTCGCCGCCTTCGGAGAGGAAGAATTGGCAGCCTAGGTCGGCCTCCGTAACGGATGAGCCGTCGAGCAGGGTGATGGAGCCGACGCCTGCGAGGACGAGGTTCTTGGCGATTTCGTGGGCGAGGCCACGCATGGTTATGAGGAGGATGTGGGCGTTTTGAATCTTTTCCTGGGCAGCGATACCCCAGAGTCGGATCTGTCTGTCATACAGGGCGATGTCATCTGTTCCCTTTGTTAGCTGATGTTTATTGTGCTTGGTAGATTGGCAGTTGTTTTCAATAGAAGCATTAAGACGGAAGGACGGGAAGGGAGAAGATGTCGTACCAGCAGACACTGTATTTGTTGGCAGTTGTATCGGCAGGCCATTCGGCATCATCATGGGTAACATAAATGCCTCATCTGCCATGGGGACGCTGCCCAAGCTCGGATCTGGGATGAATGGCTGGCCGGCCATCAAAGCTGCCACGGCCTCAGGATTTGCCTGGCCCAGCATCTGATGGTCAAACACGGGCATGCCTCCGTTTGGTTCCATGTTTTGCAGCGCCCCAGCATCAGCATCTGCGCCGCTACCAGCGTGGTTCTGGTGCTCCATCTAGCCTTGCCTCGACGTGATGGATACGTGTGATGTAGAGTGTAGAGCCTTCTTGTCTATATGATATTTTCTTCTCTTCTTCTAAAGAACAATGTAGTGAGTTATATATTGGAAAATAAAAAGGTGACATGTGCTATGCGCACAGCGATTATGATAGTTATTTGTGATGGTGCGTGAAGGATGAGTGAGAGCAAGGTGAGGACGAGATGAGGTTGGGCTGAGATGTTTGGCACCACCAAGGTGCGCAGTGGAATATACAGCTGACTGCAGCGCCAGAGATGCCGTGGATTGATGAACGTAGGCGAATTGAATTGCTGCTGGGCCTGCGCAAGCTGTCAACGGACACGCGGCGTCGCGAGGTCATTCATTTTGGAGACTGAAATGCGACGATTTGGCGGTTGGAACTTTGGACCCTGGCAACTCACAATGACACTTATTATGGCAGTGTTCCCGCAAAGCTGCAAAGTGCGTCGTTTGGTTGGCTGTTGTGCTGACGTAAGAGGACTGGCTGTGATTGGCGGGTTCATGAGTCGTTTCTAGCCTGCATGAGCTCGTTAATATGTGCATGTATGTATGTAAGTATTTGGGTTTTGATGAGCATGGATACCTAGGTACATATGCTTCATTCATCAAGTTAGGGGAACAAGACACAAATTGATGCATGGAGGAATCTTGGCGATCCTCCAGACGTTCATTGGAGTCGGCCTCTCTCAGGCCCCGGTTACTTCTCGCCGCTTCTCATCCTTGGGTACACTTTGCTACTGCCCCTCGCCACGCACAAATGCACAGATGCACTACTGATGCACCACTGATGCACAAATGCATATCCATGTTCCATTGCGACGTCCTACGGTTTGTGCCTTGGTATGTGCAAAGTATGTAGATATCCTCGTTAGGGATCAAGGATTTGTCGTTTGGAGCCGATTGCAGAGCCAAGACTTGACTCGTTTCTGCCCACAGACAATAAATTGATTGCGCCCTTTGTCCATTTCTGGCCCAGTCCATCCGTCCATTGATGATGCTCAGCCCGTGAAACAGCCGGGTGCCGCCTTAGCCAACTGAAGGCCAGCGGCCGACGCTCTGGCCTCTGTTCTTCTGTTCGTCTGCTCTTCTGTTCTCGTTTCGACGTTTGCGTGGCGTCTCATTCCTCGACCTTGTTTGGCCTGGCTGCTGGCTGCCCCCTCTCTTATTATCAAGAACCAGACCTTGAGCAGAGTCAAGAGTCAAGAGTCAAGACCAGCTTGACCCCAACTCTAGACCCCTCAACTCCACCGGTTGTTGCGACACGGGATTTCCGAAGTGGATTAACTCTGGTCCTGTACGGAGTATGACGGCTGATTCGATTGATGATCCCTGACAGACAAGTCGCTGTCCTTCTGGCCACACACTTCGGCCACCAGTTGACCACCTCTCACCTGACCTGGCCGCCTTTGGATCATCGTGGCTTCGTAACCGGACCTGGCCATATTGTTTCACGCCCCTTGCCTGCCTTGTCATTCCTGGCCTTGCATCGACATTTCGACCTCGACCAGGTGACCGGCCTTGTCCCGTACCGTTGCCTCATCCGTGGCCGTGGCCCATCATCTCCTTTGCATCGCTCTTCTCCGCCTGCGCCCGTCGTCGGATCCAAGACAGCCATTGACCACCAAGTAGCCGCGACGTCATTTATTATTAATTGATGGATGGTTGACCCTGGCGCCAGTTAGAGCACCATTAAGCACCACGAGCACCAGTTGACCACAATCCAATCCGCCCAGCCCGACCAGTTTGATCTTTGGTACCGACTTGACCCGTCGACGGTTGGCCATCCCACTCGAGACCCGACGACGACGGCTTCAACATTCCGAACCACCACCACCACGAGCATCATAGCCCTGATAAAGCGCCCTCGCCATGGCCTCCAGATCGGGGGCCGGTTCTGGCGGACACCGTGCAAACCCAACCCCCCCTCGAGACTCCCAGGAAGACTTCCCGCCGCTTCCTCTTCCCCGCCTACCGTCGTTGCGGACGTTGAGTGGCGAGCGGGAACGATCTCGACCGGCTTCACCACCAAGTGCCGCCGTCAGCGCCAGTGCTACTACCGCCACTGCCGGTCTCAACGGTCGACAACCCGCCAGATACTGGTCGGCGGCGGCCAGGAGAGCCGAGCGCATCCGCAACCTTGACGACAGAGCCCCCAGCCTGGATGACTTGGAATCCAACTCCATGGACCAGTCGTGGTCCTCGACGTCCCGTCGCCAGCCAAGACTACGCCCTCTCGATACCGCTTCGCACCATCGACGACCCAACCTGGACGAGCTGGACCAGACTCTCGACGAGGCCAACTCGCAGCTTCGCACGCTTCTCGACATGACAAACCGTATCGATCTCAGGCCGCCTTTTCTCCGGTCAACCCAGTCGCCGCCCACTATTCGTCCCCACGACTTTCCCGACGACAATGTCCGAAGTAAGCGTCGGAAAATCGATTCAAACAGACTGGTGCCGAGTTTGAAGGGCTTCCGGTATGGCAAATACGGCCAGGTTGAGCCGGGCCAGCTGCAAATGGAGATTGTAAGCTGCGACGGCGGCATGTTCTCCAACGAGTCGTCCTACGCCGCCGAGAACATCCTCAAGGACGACAGTTCGGTGTACTGCACCAAGGGCAATAGATGTAATATTGTGCTGCGACACCAAGGCGCAACCGTCTTCACCCTCGAAGAACTCGTAATCAAGGCTCCTGCTTCCATGAACTATTCCCATCCGTAAGAACATCCCCCTCCCCATCCTTCCATTGCGCGGTTGCCTTGACATTTATTGACACATCAGTTAGGGTACGCGAAGGCATGGTCTTCATCTCCATGAACCAAGACGAAATCCTAAGCCGCACAGCCCAATACCAAATCCAATACGTCTCCTCCAACCGCATCGCCTACGACGACCCCACGCCCCGACACATCGTCTCCATCCGCCACCACAACGACGGCACAACCTCCACCCGCGTTCGTCGCTCCCTCTATCCCTCCCACTCTTACTCCCACGACCACGATGAGGACGACCACCGCACACCCGAAATGCCCCAGGAGTTTTCCACAAACCAGCCCGACTTCCGCATTACCACCGAATGCACCTCGGACGAAGAAGACTACTCCATGCCTCATATCCTCCGCCGCACACCCAACCGCATCGGCTTCTTGCCCTTTGAAACAGAAACCTCTGATTCCGAAGACGGCCCCTTTACGGATGACTTTACCGAATCCTTCCACCGCCAAATCCATCCCCCGTCGGGGTCCTCGACATCGCATCCGTCCCGCCCGTCCCACTCTCACAACGAACGTCTCTCCGTCTCTTTGGCAGAAGCATGGGACGCCCACGCCTCGGCTACGCAAGAAGCCATTCGCGCGGTAGGCGGCGAGCTGCTCGTCCCCCACGCCAAATTCTTCATCGAGAAGAAGAAGTCCAAGTGCACCATCCGGTTCGACCCCCCTGTTTCGGGACGCTTCATCCTCCTCAAGATGTGGAGCTCGCACCATGACGTTGCGAGCAACATTGATATTCAGAGCGTCATGGCAAAGGGGTACGCTGGACCGCGGTACTTTCCGTCGGTGGAGCTGAGTTAACAACCTTGGCCGTGACCAAGACGAAGAAACGGCTACCGGTGGACTGGACGCCTTTGGGGAATTCTTTTTGACTTATATATTTTATATTTTTCGCCTTTTGGCCTTGGGAGCATTTGGAAATATGGGTTCTTATAGATGAGACTTATGAGCGGATATGGCGTTTGAGCTTCTGGCATTGAATGATTATGTATTTGGGTACATTATAAAATTCTGCGACGAACCGGCCTGGTAGACTCGTCTGTTTGCAGGCAAGGACCTGGGGCAGGTATATATGTACATGTTGTGTGGGCTGCATGTGGGAAATACACACACCTTATGAGTTTGACCATGTTTAATATCGTGCCGTAATCTATTGATGATGACTGCTACCAAGGATACAAACCGAGAGCTATGAAACAAAGTAGTGAACCATCATTGCCAATCCACCAAAGCTACGTCTCCAAACACTGCATATTGACCCAGTTCACAAAAGGGCCCCTCTCCGAAGCAAGACAAGATAAATATTTTGCCGTCTTTACAGTCAGACAGAACCATGGCCTGCACCATGCACACCAACCAAAACGCTCGTGGGCGGCGCCAGGGCGACTGCCAATCCACAAATAACAGCATCAAACATGCTGAGAAGGCATTAGCATCGAAACCAGCCTGTTCTCAGACAGTTCCACTGACATGTTGATATGTACCATTGCAATGGCGAAAGCCGTCCCGGAAACGTGCGTTAGCGTCGAGAGAATAAATGCACCGCCCATATCTACAAACCGATAGGAGGACATATTCCCGTTTCCGAAGTTCCCTGGGCTGGCCTCAATGTGAGGATACCGATTCCCTCTGGTATCGACCAGGTTTGCCAAGTTAAACTTTTCTCCTTCGTCGTCGTGGTAAATGTAGTGCGAGCTTGACCAGCCAACGACAACGATTGGCACCAGAAGTATCAAGGTGAAAAAGACGCCACGAACCACATACAGAGGATCCAGACGAGCCTTCATTGTGCGCAAAAGGCCATGGGTGAACATTAGAATTGCTACGAAACTAGAGGTCAGGCCGGCAGCCGCCAGAAAAGGATAAATGGCCCAGGCGGAGATTCCGCAGGAAATGCCTTGGATGTTGCAACGTCCATCAACTGTCTGGCCCTCGGCCTTCTTCCACGCGACCAACGATCCCACGAAGAGGACAAAGTTTGCTAAGCTGTACATTGCGAGGAGAATAAGGAGTGAGTGTGTGGTTGAGCCCCCCTTGCCTGACGGCGAAGACATTCTGGGGGTTGGGCGGTAGAATGGGTGGGGGGCCCAGAACGAGAGAACAAAGTTCTCGGGAAGCGGCCGATCACGATGGGGGAATGAATGGTGTATTGATGCTGTAGCTAATGCGGCCTAAAAAATCGAGATGTGGTCGAGTAGCGGGGGTTGCTGTCGAAGAAGATGAGAGGGCGGGGAAAAGAAGCAGAAAGAGACGAAACCTTGAAGTTACGACGAAATTTGGTTTTGTAAATAGCTTTGTGAGTCGTGGTTCCTTCTGGTAACTCGCCATCTGGACAAGGTTGGAAGGAGCAATGTAGATACGGAACGGGCACACCTTATCCTCGTCCTTTAACGATTTAAATATTGAGTTTGGTACAGATATTATCGCCCTACGAGTCTTTGATTTGATTTTGTATTTCGGAAAGTGATATCGTCGTAGCAATGTACATTCCTGCTACAACAGCTTCGTCACGGGCAGATGGCAAGGTGTGGATAACCAGCACTGGGCTGCGTGTAAGTCGAATCCGGCCAACACCGCCCCTGTCGGGTTCCCTGTCCCGCCAAGAAAATGAGCCACTTGCTCAAAACGGCAATATCAAAAGCAAAGTCTTGGCATTTTCCCCATCGCCGTCCCGAAAGACATCAACGCGGAGGACCACGGACATGGTATAGTATCACGCTGATAATGTTCGTCTTCATCTAATCTGTGGCGGAATATATTCTCCCGCCAAGAAGGACGCACTGATGTACCGTACTGCATACCCTTGTACTTACAACTTGGTTTAGATTTCTGTCAAAATTATGTATAACCTCTTTTAAAGGTCTTTACTTGAACTGCGTTGTTAATGAAGTAATTCCGGCATCATATGTTCAAATTGGCTCTGAAAAATGGCCTACAGGATGACTTTCCAAGTATTTCACGTTCATCATGGTATATCAAGGTTCTCTGCTGCGCCTTCACCCGGTAAATATAACTCCCACTCTGAGACACTAATTGCTAAAAAACCAAAACTGAAGCTTATATATTCTAGCTGTACACATTATTTATTTACAAAGAAGCCCTAGAGGCCCTTTACATTATCGCAACAACGCCGGCAACCAGCGCCCCCGCATGCCAAATATTGAAACTACCCGTCGCGGCGGCGGCGGCGCCCCTGCTCGCCGACGTCGTGGCAGTCGAGTCGACTCCAACAGTAGCCGTGGTCACTAGCGTCGTAGTAGCAGTGGTGGTGAACGTCTGTCCATTGCTCGTCCAAATAGAGGTGTACGGCTTGGTGGTGTAAGCCCAAGTCGTCTGTTCAGGGGCCGGACCGCCAGCGAAAACGGTAGTCGTCGCAGTGGTGGTGAATGTCTGGCCGTTGCTCGTCCAGGTGCATGTGTACGGCTTCGTAGTAACAGCCGTGGTTTGGGTAGCGGAGGCTGAATCAGACTGGGAGCCGCCGTTGCTCAAGACGCCGCCAACAGGGCCGCCGGGGGGAGAAGTGCTATTGGAAGCCTTCACTGCAAGCGCAGAGAAAGCCTCAAATGTGTTGCCCGTCGGGGGGGCATTGACGGCGCCAATCATGCCTAGAACAAAATTAGCCTGACTGCTGAGAAACTTCAGGGCCGGTCAACAGGCTTATGCAAGGGACGTACCCTTTTGGCAGTGGTTAGCCTGGCCACAGTAGAACCAGATGGGCTTCGTGTCCTTGACCTCAATGGTGAAGGTGGTTTTGGAGGGAGACTCGGTAGTAGGCACGAAGCCGGAGAAGAAGCCTCCTGAAAGGGGGTGGCAGGGATCGTTGAAGGACGACTGAGTGACGGTGTGGTTTTTGGGGAAGTAGTGAAACTCGATCTTGGTGCCGACGGTGGCTTCAAAGTTGGACGGGTTGTATAGGAGTTTGCCGTTTGCGCCGACTTCTACTTTGACGGTTTTTGCCTCCTGGCCGGCGATGGGGGAAGCTGCCAACGCGAGGCCGATGATGGGCGAAGAGAACCGCATGTTGATACCAATATTGGACGGGAAGTGTGTGAGAAGGAGGTATATGGGTAGGTCTGGGCGGCTGTTTCTTGGTAGTGATTGAGAACAAGAGAAGAAAGAAAGAACAGAGGGTATTTCAGTTCTTTATATGCCGACCCTGACCTCTAGCTATATCAACAGAGCTCAAAACTACTTTACTCCTTGATGTTAAGCTTGCTTGCGTAGATTTGTTTGGGCAAACGCCACCGCCGCGGCAGCCAGCTCCAAACATCGACCACGTCTGTCAGCCCAACCAGACACTTGAACTCTTCTATTTGCAGCTATTCCGGAAGACGGCATTGCCGCCACCAGTTGAATGTGGGTACAAGTCTGGTTGCTCGCCGGGTCAGCAAGCAAGTGTTTATTCGGCTCAGCCACCGGTTGTTGAGCTTCCGGACAACAGACCAGCACGGCCTGGCCTGGCCGCAATCAGAGCGTCATTAAACACAAGGAGAATGACCGGCAAAAGTTTCCCCAGGTGGGCCGGAAGACATTTATCCGTAAATTGTTTGGATTGTGAGAAGCCAGGTCCCTGGTAGTCGAGGCGTGGATTCTGCATATGCCAACCGACACCAAGCCCAAAATACCCGAAACCGCCTTTCGCTCCAAGGAAACCAATCGATGATTACAAGGATGAGGCGTCATCTTAAAAACAGAGGCGGTTCAAGAATGCGCGTTATTCACCAGGGCAAATTTACCCCTGATGTGGGTGGCGCTGCGCCTCTCGGCACAGTAACCAGCCGCGCCATGAAATGATGCCAGGAGGACGGAGCTTGAGAGGCGGCAAATTAGGCGCGGAGAACAAGGGTGATTCTAGAAAATGATAATACCGCCTTGTTCGTTATTGTCTGTCACATTCGGGTGCTATAGATCGGCGCAGGGGCCGCTCGTCCCGACTTGGGCGTGACAAAAATCTTCAAATGTTGCGATGAACTGACGACGGGAAGATTAAAAAAACTTCGTGAGAAGATGGACGAGAAGTTTTCATTGTGCGTCTTTTCTAGAGATGCTTCGTAAAAAAGGATCACAGTTCACGAGCCGGGATTGGCGTCGAGCGTCACGACAGCACCCCTGGGCCCTGGAGACACCTCATTTCTTCCATTTGGATACCAGATATCGTGGATTCTTGGATAAGTTCAGTCCAGGCCAAGCCAGCCAGCGCCGTCATCCATCCGTATGGACAGCCCTGCTTGCTATAAGGCTGAGGGACCAGCGTTGCCAGTCTGCACCCGTCGCCGTGGGACCGCCGGTTTCAGACCTGGTAACGGCTGTTATTTATAGACGAGAAAATTTTCACCGCATGATTTTATTGGCCACTGATTTTGTCGCGGTGGTGTACTATGGGACATGGATGGATGCCGTTGGTTTGACAGACCGGGAGGTTTGGCGTTCTTCTCATGTAGACCAAGAAAGAAAAAACCAGTACGTAATCTCCATGGCCCTTGCATATCTAGCATCGCGCGTCGCGTTAGTTCTCTTCTTTTCTTATCGTTATCCATCGTTCTTGTTTTCGTTCCCAGTGCTTGGGGAGGCTTATGCCGGGCCTAGCAGCATCGACACAGAATCAACAGCATTTGCCATAACACTTTCAGCCAATTTCATTCTCCGACAGTATTCCTAATAGGGTGTCAGAATGCATACAGACTCAAGTTATTCAGAAAGGCAGCTTCCCTGCATAATCTCTTGAAAGAGGTGCTCGCGAGGGGCTTCCTCCCCTACTGGCTGTTGCGTTGGAAGACAAGCTCGAAGAAACAGAAGCAACTATAGTGCGGGTTACGTTTCTGAGGGCTCGTCTCTCGCCTTTTCAGTTCTTCCGACTTGTCAACGTTGCTAGCTGTCACATTGTCTCATAGAGCCCTCTGGTATATTCGCCAGTTAACTTGCGTAACAGCGCCAGCGTATATCGGTGACCAGAGATCATCCTCTCTGCAACGTGTTATACGGTCATCTTAAGACTTCTCGGGTTATCTTCCGTGTGACATGAATAATTCCGCTTCAGTTGAACTGAATTGAATCGACGAACAGCCGTTTCTGTCCTCCGTGTCCACGGAAAAGAAGACCAAGCTAGAGTGCTTTATCCGGCTGCAACTATTCATGGCTACTTTTTTAATCGCCATGTCATCGACCATTCTTACGCAATGTTGTACCGCTAGCACAGTATATACGTGCGCAACCGTCTTGCTCCATATTGTCTTTCTTGTCGTCTGTCAAGACTCAGTGTAGCAGCCTGGCTCCAATCGACGGCACCAGTCAGTTTATACTAGTCGTCGAATAAGAGGTTTCTATAGTAAAGTTTAAAGGGAAAAAGGTCTATAAACCCTGTCCTTAATAATAATACGCGAGATAGCTGGCTTAAAACTCAGCAGGCGGCCCTCCGCTTAGCATTATGGGCATGTTTTTTAAGAGCCTGCTGGTTTTAGTCTTGTCTGAAGTCGTAGAGTCACTCTAGAGATATCTGGGTGCGTTGCGTGGCCAATGGTTTGGTATTCCACTCGTATGGGAGGATTTGTGGTGGCTTATTGTAGTTTTTACCGCACTATATTCGCCCAAGCTTGTTAAAGGTCAGGTTATGTAACTGGAACAAGAGGTTTACTAATTCGCGTACAGCATGTGATATGTATTCAGGCAGCACTTTACTCGCAATAGTTGAGCTGAGGATACGACCAATCGACATTGTCGGAGAAGGCGACTCGTAAAACAAGGTTGTTCGTCCCGTGTATAACAAGCCTTGTGTCGATGGAGCAAAGTGATTTCCCGATCTAGACCTTTATCTTGAGCCTTGCCAGCAAGAAGGGCCACCTCTTGAAGATATGCAAAGTTGGCCGTGGCCAAGATGGTGAGAATTTGGTCATGGGTGTGTCTCGACGAGATCAGGGGGGAAGAGAGTCAGCCTATACATCATGGAACTAAGAATACGCTGCCAAGAAGACTGTGGGTTGTAAGTTGATGCAACCTTTCCAAGTCTGCCCTGGTGGTGTACGTTGATAGATGAAAAATCTAAGCCACCATCTTGGTCCCGCCGCCTCAACCTTGAACCGACTCCATCACATGGCCGAGATTGTGCCTGAAAAATGTTGGCTCCTCGTGACAAAACTCTCCGCCTTGCCGTACTTGGATTCGCAAAACATACAAGTCAGGACAGAATATCGGGATACGAGTGACCAGACTCGATACATATCTATCTAGAAAAACGAGGCGACCCCAAAAGCCTGCGCTCTGGCTCTCTTCGTCATCAGCCATAGACAAACCTACGCACCGCCATGCCTAGACGCAGCTAATTTCTCCTGGCGACTATTCATATAGTTCAGTGCCCTCGAGGTCATGTCGCGGAGGATAGGACAACAAGCGTTAGCATACCAAACGGTGTCTTCTCGCTCTTCAGCTATGAAGATGAATCAGTGAATTGCTCGGGGCCCGGTCAATTCATATGAATCATATGCTCTACGCACCCAAAGAGTAAACCGTTTGCACAAAGAACAAACGGGTCTTGCTGAAAAATCTACTCCGCCCCTTATGCTCGCGTTTGTCACCAATGACGACCACAGATATTTGCAAACGCGGAAGAATTAAACACCTTTTCACAATATTTAAACCGGCACGGGCCTCGCCTTGAATCCCGTCTATACATTCCCAGTCGTTTGATACCTCCGGGACCAATACGCACACCACATCAGAGAACCTCAAAGAGACAGAACATTAGCAATGTATTCAGCGTACGTAACTGTTCTGTCTATGAATGAGACTTATGGAACCTGCTCTCGTGCCTGACTAATAATACGATAGAATTGCTAGTTCCAAACCCTATCGGTTCTTTGTTGGACCACAGAGGCGCAAGTTCACGATTCATTCTGAAGTTGTTGCGGGAATATCCCCCTATCTCGATAAGCTAGTCAATGGTGATTTCAAAGAAGGAATTGAAAATCAAGTTCAGTGGGAGGATGTGGACGAAGAGACATTTGTATGCTTCTGGCAGTACGCTTACACGGGCGACTACGATGTTCCCAGGGAGCCAAAAACACCAGAGGCCACAATTAAGGGTGAAGGCCGGGGTGAAAACGAGATGAAAAGCCCTGAAAATGCAAATGAACCTCATACATTTGTGGAGGTTACAACATCCGGAAAAAGCACCAATAAACAGGCCGATCCTCGTATGCGAAAGAAACATATGAAAAAAAGGTCCAAAAAAAGGTTGACAGAAAACGCCCGGCGGGAGGAAGAAGGAGAAGAACCCAAGCCGGAGCCAAGCTATGAGCCGCCATCGAAACGAAAGCAACTGTGGGAAGTATTCACGGCACTCCGGTTAACCAACAGTTATCAGGTCGAGGTCCAACCGGCACGGGAGAGCCAGAGAGATGATTTCTACGCCAGCGATTTACTCTGCCACGCACGAGTATTCGCTTTTGCCGACTGCTACGGTATTTTCGATCTGATGGAGCTGTCTTACAGTTGCATTCATCGTATTCTGTGCAACCTCGACCTGCGCACCGAGACCTTGGCCGATATTATAGCCTTCGTGCATTACTGTTACGAAACGCCGGCGCCCCCCGACTTGAAGGAGCTCGTTGTGCTCTATTCTGCGTGCAATATTGAAAAACTCTGGGTTGACGAGCAGTTCCAGCATATAATTGAGACCCATGGCGATCTATCACGGGCTGTTATTGCCTCCCTACTTGGCCGCCTTGCCTAGATGGCCTCATGCGGCTGCCGTCAGTGGCCGAATATGAGACTCTGGAGTCTGGAACTTGGCTAGACATCATGTAGTTAGTTAGGTTAAATTGAAGAATAAAAGAGGAGATTTGTCAGTTTCGGCATAGTGTCTAGGAATTGGGACTCAAAAAGTAATAGATAGTAATGTCTGAAGCCTAGACCTGGCTTCCAATAGAAAGTCGAAACGACTCTTGATATTGGCCAATAAGGCCCAACTATCTTTTGTAAGAAAAGGATTGATACTTTGCTTTCCATTCGCAGCAAACTCGGGGCCAAGGATGCAACTCCCCGTTCTTTGATGCTTGGCAAACCACAGTGGTGGGTATAAATATCGCAAGAGTAGCTGCATTATTTGTTAATATATATGACAAGCCATTAACCATGGTATTCTTTGCACAAGACTGTTGCCTTTGAACCTCATCCTCGTAGCCTCCCTATACGTCGACTACATTCTCGCGGCCAATCGTCCCCTTTGTGACACAATCCCCTCACATCACCAGACATCCTGATGAGTATATTTCCTCACAACTTCGCCTTTGCTTCCCTCTGCGATTCCTCCCATCGCCGATTTATCCTTACGTTCCCCCATATCCTCCACGCAGCCGCCGCCAAAGCCAACGGAGGACAGCCCAGCAACACCCACGACCACCACTCCGGGCTGCTCTCCCTAATCTTCTCCATGGCCTCACCCAACTTAGCCTCCAGCTCGTCCCTGGAGCCGTCATTCCACAAAACAACGCCGTTCCCCTGCCCTCGCTCAACGCACCTCCGCGCCTTGACCCTCACGTCCGCCTGGCTGCGCACCCGGTTCTCCGCATCCTCCCTGCTCAGGTGGGCGTCCCTCTCCATGAGCCGCCTCATCTGGATCTCGGGATCCGACACGGCCACCACCACCGTCACCCCGCAGAAGCGGTCCAGCCCGCTCTCAAACAGGAGCGGGATGTCGAGCACCACCGCCCAGTGGCCGCGGAGATAGCACCCCAGGACCATTTTGAGCATTTCCCTCCGCACGGCCGGGTGCACGATGCCGTTGAGCACCGCGCGGTCCCTCTGCAGCTGCTCGCTGTCGCCAAAGACGCGCTTCCCGAGGGCGGGACGGTTGAGCGGGCGCCCTTTCCCGTCGGGGCCGTTTTCCGGCATCGAGTCCGACGGCTCGACCAGGAGATCGGGCGTCGTCGGGCCAAAGTACTTGACGATGGCGTTGTAGCCGCTTGTGCCGGGCTCGACGACCTTGCGGGCGAGGACGTCGGCGTCTACAATGGGCAGCTCATAGGGCGCAGATTTGAGGAGCGACGAGATGGTTGATTTGCCCGTCGCAATGGAGCCTGTTAGTCCGATGAGCAGCATTTTTTCTTCTTCCTTTCCCCCCCGCTGGTATACTGCACGGGGGACCACTTGGGGGCGGTGGTGTGTGAATGTGTGAAGCTGTGCTGATTGATGCAGGATGCGTCGGCACCGAGGAGCAGCTGTGAGGTTGACAGGGCCGAGCCGTCGATTGCCTCCAGCCCTCCGAGGTTAGAGAGCACTGAGAGCTTCAATGTTGCACGTTGACAGGACTTGAGGTGTCGGGAAACTAAGAACATTGAATCCAATAGTTGGTGTCTAGTTCTGGTGCATCCGGGTTCCATGTCCATGTTATGCAACCCCCAGTGCCCTGCCGCTAGCGCCACTGGGCTGTTGGTTAGTGCGGGGTTTGGGTGAAGCTCCAGCACAAGAAGAAGCCGGGCTGCCGGCTGGGAAGGAGCCAGACATGCAAATTGCCGAGCTTTATTACGCCACCAAGTGATCGAGCCCTACATGTGCCAACCTGACATGGGCTGTAAAGACAAAGCTGAAGCGTGCGACCTGAGAAGCAACTGGTACTAGCACTATTGAATATTGACTCATCACATCGTGCACCAGTGTACACAATATTATACTGCAGAGAATGTCACATTTGACCGATGCAAAAATGTTTTGAAATCAGGCAGGGGCGTGAGGCTGTCAAAAGGACCTGAAAATGTGGCACATTCGATTGCAGGAAGACTACGTACACGCGGAATGTACCGTCTTTTTTGCATTCTGTTATTCTTCCAAATGTGTAAATTGACAGACATTATTCCGTCTATACCGAACGCGAAAAATAGTTAGTCAGGAAAGAAGTACTCGCTCCTCAGAATGGTCATGTAGCCTCGGGAAACACACGTCTTGTAAGCAGCTGTCCACATGTCCTTGACAAACCGCCAATGAGTCTCCCAGAAAGGCCAGTGCCCAAGATAAAGGCGTAAAACAGAACCAAGACTCAAAAAGCCCATGGCAACTGTTGGCTCTCAACGGTAGATTGGATCAAAGGAACCAAGATCTGGCAAGTAGCTGCTGCCAAACGGCTCAAGTTCATCACATGGCCCAAATTCGGCCCTCAACCATTGTTGAGCGCTGGACATGTCTCCATGTTTCGCATTGCAACAATATGTCCTCCGTACTTGGTATTGCATAAATACGTCGTAGAGCACGGCATGGGAAAGCCCCACGTCACACAAATCATCAGACACTTTGCCGATTATGCGGTCATCCGTATTGTTTCGCAGGCTCATTCCATAATGACAGCAGCGTCGCATGATGCCGCTTCAACGCACGCCACAAAGTACAGGGCGTGGCACTACAGCTGGATCGAGTACTACTACAACTAGAATACGTAGTTTGAAAGTGTAGGAAACGGACCCAGCTCTAGCAAAGCCCATCAGGCCCGCCTGGCAAGTTTCCCGAGTAAATCAATGATGGCCCCGCGCCGGTGCTCTCGAATCACGCGCCATTGAAATATGGATGGATGGACGGGACAGTCCCACGAATCTTGCTGATCTCGGGCTGGCCAGCGCCACAGATCGAGGGACGGATGGCCTGTTGCCTGCGCCTCGGTTAAGGGTCGTCACAAGCACGGCATTCCTGGCCGCTCTGGTGGCTGTCCAGTATGGACAGTCCCGGGCAGTCAGCGTCGATCTGACGCAAATACACCATTACTGGAGTGTCGGCCGGGTTGCCAGCCTGGGCGTTTCTTAACATCTGGTCGGGAGTCGAGTGTTGCGCCGCGTCAACGGTTGAATCAAAGGGTCCGGTGCGAGGGGTAAAGGACGGGATAGGAGGACGGGAGGGAAGGGGCTGCGGAGGGATCCTGCGGCAGCCGTCAAGTGACGGTGTGGGGATTTGTCAGTGGTTCCTTCCTCGAATGTCGAAGCATCAAAATGTCAAGTTGCTTTGACTGCCAGGCAAGGTACTTGGACGTAGGTACATACCGAAGTTCACTCTAAAGGACGGACAATGACTCAACTGAGTTTACATTCCAAGTGCTGCCCTATTAAATCGTGGCGTCTCCGCAATGCCCTGGCTGGCTTTCGCTGCGTCCCCAAGTCCCCTAAGCTACTTGGCGCAGATGTTGACTGGGATCCGTGTCCAAACAACAAAGTAGTCGTACTTTGCAATTATCATTCCATACTTAAGTACATACCTAGGTAGTCTAGGCAGAGAGATTTGCAATATTAAGCTTCACTCCGCGCGCAACTGCTGCGTATCAGGTTGACTGTATAGTAGACTGCTAACCTCGTATTAAGCCGGCAGAACAGGCGTCAGATGCGAGCGAGGTCAGGCTTGGATGCGCCACATGGAGGACCTACTCAAGTACTGCGTAACTAAGTACGGAGTACTAGTAATAGTCTGGTACCTCAATTATAACCGAGCACGCATGGACAGTCGAACGCTGCCAGGGATGCGCGTCAAATGTGTCTGGCGCACAGATGCTAGACAGATTTTGATGCGGGGGTTGCAGTAGGTCAGTTACATTGGCGCTATTGCGAACATGTGAAAGCCCCGACCAGGACTCTTGTCCTCGAGAGTCGACGCCTTCGACGCCCTCAACTTGACGCGGCGGCCGACAGGGCGGTCGACGCCCGCCACAGGCAAATATTGATGCAGAATTACGGGCGAATCAGGGGCCAGGCCACGTTGGTGCCGTCGATGCGCTGCCTTTTGAGTGCCGGCTCCGTGCCTGACTGGACATCAATTGTCTACACGGTACGGATGCCCCCAGGCGCCGCCCACCGCCCACAACCTCATGATCCCACATGCACCCTGAAGCGCCCCACCACCCCAACGCATGTCGCCCCATAAAGAAGACGGAAACATCCACCTTCCATCCTCCCACCAAGAATCGTTCCCCATCGTGTGTTGCTGCAGCCCCGGCTGTTCTTTTAAACGCTCCCTTGTTCCTAGTCCTCCTAAAATGCTCTATCCTCGGTTTCAATCTTGGTGTATTGGTATAGTTTTCAGCATATTAGCGACACGCCAAACTACAACTGCTCCCTCGACTTAAATCGTCCTTCTGCGCCCGAAACAACCCTCGCCGAGGGAAAAAGGAGAGATACAGCTTGTTGGCTCGCCCGGCCTTGGTTCCGGCTAAGCTCTGTTTTCAACTGGGCCATCTTCAGTGAAGGTCTTGCAGTGGTCACATTGTGCAACTCGCGCCGCCGCAGACCCTGCGCTGACCTGCATATACTTAATGCTGGCTAGCTAGTCTCGCATACTTCCTTGAGACAAGCAGCTTGGGGCACTTCGACCTCTTCGCCGCCGACGGTCGAACAAAATCGTCCATTTTCCCGCTCTCACCTTGCAGTCCACACCTATTAGTTTGCCATTCTGCGCAGTGCCTTGAAATTGGAAGCGGTTTTCAATTGGGCTTCCAAGTATTAAATAAACATGAGCGACGACGAACCCCAGCTTGTGCGACCGATTCCCCGTCGACCATTCAACCTAAACCTCGCGGGTGCGACACCCCCCGACGATGACCTTGCGGATCACGATGAGCCTTCTCAGGCTAGCTTTGGTTCCGGCCTTGACTTTTCAAGCCCGAGATTCTTGCACCCAAGCTTTGACCGGTCCGAATCTACAGCATCGCTCAGCCGCCCGCAGTCCCTCCTGAATTTGACTTCATCGACCTTGATGGGAATATAT